TGAGTGAAGGCAAAAAGGAGGAGATTCCAACGCCGCAAGTAGTAGAAAAACTAGTGGACGAGTTCGCTGACGTGGGAGAGAGTCCAACGGGAGTAGTAGAGAGAGAGAGATCAAGCATTGGATAGAGATAAAGCCCAGCGACCGAATTCCCACATGGCCAATTTATCGCATGTCTCCCAAAGAACTCGACGAGCTGCGCAAACAGCTTAATGAATTGACAGAGAAAAGTTGGATAAAGCCCAACTCCTCGCTGTACGGCGCACCAGTCTTGTTTGTTCCCAAGAAAGAAGGTGAGTTGCGTATGTGCATAGATTATCAGTGTCTAATTGCGATTATAGTCAAGAATGTCGAACCTTTGCTGATGATAGATGACTTGTTGGATAGAGTGCAGGGCTGCAAGTATTTCTCAAAGATCGACTTGAAGTTGGGTTACCATCAGATAGAGGTAGAACCCGAAGACCAGCACAAGACGTTTAGGACTCACTATGGCCACTACAAGTTTGTGGCATTGGCGTTTGGCTTGTCGAATGCCCTTGCCACTTTCCAAAGATGCATGAATGATCTCTTTCGCGAGTGGCTAGGTAAGTTTGTATTAGTGTATTTAGATTATATTTGATTTTTAGTAAGGTCCTAGAGGAGCATCAACAACATTTGCGGTTAGTTTTAGAGAAGCTATGCCCTGCAAACTTCAAGGTGAACCCGAAGCAATGCGAATGGGCTAAGCGTCAAGTCTAGTATCTGGGTCATGTATTGGACAGAGATGGGATCAGATCGGAGGACGCAAAGATAGCAGCAATAAAAGATTGACCCACACCACACACATTGACTGAACTAAGGTGTTCTTGGGATTATCAAATTACTGCTGAAAGTTTGTGCTAAATTTCACGATGATCGTTGCACCGTTGCGTAAGTTGTCGAGGGAAGAAACTGTCTGGAATTGGGATAAAGACCGTACTTCAGCGTTCAAGAAGCTGGAAAAGGCACCAATAGAATACTCAGTAAAAGGCACTAATAGAATACTCGGTCCTCAAGGTGGCAGATCCATCCTTGCCATTCATGTGCTAGGGTCTATACTCCAACAGTACGATGGAGAGGGGTATAGGCATAGGCGTTGTACTCCAACAGAATGATGGATAGGGGTATATGCCAGTAGAGTTCACATCATGTAGATTGTCTAGCGAGAAGGTCACTGCTTCAACATACGAACGAGAGTTATTTGCCTTGAGAGAAGCGTTGAACCATTGACGACACTATCTGCTAGGTCAACATTTCAAACTTCAAAGTCTATTCTGGCCACAAGACTCTACGCTGGTTGAAGACCCAAGCCCGAATGACTCCTAAGCTGACTAGATGGGCTGGGGAGATTGACCAGTTCGACTTCCGGTTGAAGCCAGTAAAGGGAAAGTACAACGTTATCGCACATGGGCTCAGTAGACGTGCAAACTTTTTCGGTGCGATTGTGACTTATTTAGACACCGGCCCCCAACTGCCGCAACAGATTAGAGCTGCATACACTGACAATCCCATTTACAGCAAACTCATTAAGAGAGTGCAGACCACGCCCCATGAAGTCCCGGACTATAGAGTAACTGATGGACTTTTATTTGAGAAGACTGGCAAGTTTGAAAGACTGTGCATTTCGAATAATGATACCATCAAGAGTCTGATCTTGGGGGAGTGCCCCGACACAAAGGGCCATTTTGGATGGAGGAGGACGTACGCAAACCTCCTACACTCCTATACCTGAGTCGGCATGAAACACGATTGCATCACCTGTTCTTCTTCTTCTTCTTCTTCTTCTTCTTCTTCTTCTTCTTCTTTTAGAGAGTTTTTCAACCATTGGGTTCAAGACTACGAACATCCGTTAACAATTGTCAGGGATAGAGATAGTAGGTTCGCGGGCGAACATTGGCAGCACTTGATAAAACCCTATGGATCGAAATTGACAATGTCTTCCGGCAGACATCCGGAAACTAACGATCAGACTGAGCAAATGAACAAACTGCTTCAGCAAGTGCTTCGCATGTACATTAGACCCGATCAGATTGACTGGGATGAGCATCTCGCAAAGGTGCAGTCTGCTTATAAGAACTCTGTGCACTTGTCCACAGCCCGTACAGCGAATGAATTGCACAGAGGTTGGCAACCCCGACATCCAATTGACTGTCTGAATCCAGATCAGATTCAAAGATTGCCACCCGGCATGAGGGAGTTTGCTGTTCAGTACGAGAAAGATCTAGAGCAGGTCAAGAAGAACATCCTTAAGGCCCAGCACCAGATGGTTGAACAAGCTAACAAGCATCAATGACCATCGCAATTTGCAATAGGTGATCTGGTGGGTCAAGTCTAAGGAGTTCGTTCCTGAGGAAGGGATCTCGCCAAAACTGCTACCCGCATAAAGGGGACCATGGCAAGTCTTAGATGTCAAGGGCGAGGCTGATGGTCCATCTTACACGATCGAGATTCCGCCCCACCTGCACGCCTACCCGATATTCCATGCCTCTTAAGTTACTTCCCTGCATTTCAAACAACCAGTTCCCTCCCCAGATACCACCGGATATGGATGGGACATATGACGTAGATCGAATAGTCGCTGAAGATACACTCCAGACTGGTCGTCGAGGTAGACCGCAAAGACAATATAAGGTCCGGTTCGCTTATCAGGAACCCAGCGAAGACCGCTGGTTCCCCAGGGAGGAACTTATACAAAAAGCCCCTCACATTGTTTCCTACTATGAGAGGGCTAGAGGTGGGTTGAACATATATGACATGTAAAAATGGGATTTTTCTTGGAGGGCCTCGAAATTAAGCCGGCGCGAGTGAAAGGATATACGCTGCAGACATCCTGCCCCAGTCCCAGGTCCTAACAAGTCCCAAGTCCCAGGGCCTTCCGTAGGGTAGGTCGTAGGGCTCTAAGGTCGAAGTGTCGTAGGTCCGTAGTGGTCGGTACCGAAGCGTCCTAGGTCAGGAGAGGTCTGTCCTGTATCCGAGAAGAAAAGTCCAGAAGCGTCCATGTCCAGTCCGACAGTCCACAAGTCCAATTTTGCAGCATGCCCAAGGATAGTCCGGAAGGTACCGGAACAACAAAATGTTTTGCAGCAGACAGGCCACGGCTGACCAGTACTGGTCTGAAGCAGGCCGAGCCAAGCCAAGCCAAGCGAAGACAAGTCCTATATTTGGCTGCTACAGTACAGCGACTCATCATTTGTTCAGTTGCAAGATGCAGAAGCGCTGCTGCTGCTTGTGCGTTACGCAACTTGGGCACTGTGTGCCCGAGGAAGAAGGCTGTGAAGTTGTCCATAGCTGCCAAGGTGTAAGATACCTGAGTGGGTGTACCCAGGGTAACAATCAAGGGGGGGAGGGGGCGGGGGAGAGAGAGAGAGAGAGAGAGAGAGAGAGAGAGAAGAGAGGGAAGCCATAGCTGCTACCTGGTTGAGACCTGCTGTGTGTATGTGTGGGTGACAAACATTCTTGAATATTGGCAATAATATTGGTGACAACATCTTCGAGTGTGGATTGTACCTCGTTTTGGCTTCTCATGTGTGAACTCTCGTGTGGATAATCGCTGGTGTTTGCAAGTTCAACTTGACAGGTGTTTGGTTCATTTCACTTTAAAAAAAAACACCCAGTATTTTTCCACGGCGGCCCAGAATGAAAGAATATGACCTGGGCCACCCAAAACAAAATTGGGCTACCCCCCATTTTCCAACCATCCGGACCAGGCTCCGGAAACCTGGACCGGATGCCGGACTCCGGACAGTCTGGATCCCTGTCCAGGTGTCCGGATCGAAGCTATGCATTGAACTAAAAGTTCGAATCCACATGGAACTAATTCAATGAATCTCTTGAACTACATGGGGCCGTTCAGTTCCACGATGTTTTTTTTCCCCTCTCCCCAAAGCCACTCAGACGTAAAGCTCGAATCCATATGGAACTAATTAATTGAATCTCGTGAACTACTTGGGACCATAATTGCTGCGCACCGGCACTGTGCGCTGCGCGGTGCGCTACGCAGCGCGCTGTGCACCGATCCGAGGTGCGCGCCGCACGTCTGGGTGCGCAGTGCACGCTGTGCGCAATGCATATTTCCATGTTCCAGCGGTAGATTCATTCGATTCATCTGGCCAGCCTCGAGGTTGGAGACTTACCTGCTCTCTCTCTCTCTCTCTCTCTCTCCCGACTTCTTCCGCCGCTTCCCACCATCCCACGTTCGGCCTTTCTCCCGCCTTCCGCCATCCACCCTTGCTACTTCTCTCTCCCTCTTCCCGCCATCTCTC